CTGTCGGAACAACACAATTCATTTTAGTTTATCAACATGTGAGACAATTGTCGTCATGACCTTAACACAGGTCCGTCCTGGACCTGTTACGGACCTATCACGGACCTGTTACGGACCTGTCACGGACCTGACCCTTATGTGTCGACGAACCATCGTCACATAAGGGTCCAGGACGGACAGAAACGTCGTCACATAAGGGTCCAGGACGGACAGAAACGTCGTCACATAAGGGTCCAGGACGGACAGAAACGTCGTCACATAAGGGTCCAGGACGGACAGAAACGTCGTCACATAAGGGTCCAGGACGGACAGAAACGTCGTCACATAAGGGTCCAGGACGGACAGAAACGTCGTCACATAAGGGCCCAGGACGGACAGAAACGTCGTCACATAAGGATCCAGGACGGACAGAAACGTCGTCACATAAGGGTCCTGGACGGACAGAAACGTCGTCACATAAGGGTCCAGGACGGACAGAAACGTCGTCACATAAGGGTCCAGGACGGACAGAAACGTCGTCACATAAGGGTCCAGGACGGACAGAAACGTCGTCACATAAGGGTCCAGGACGGACAGAAACGTCGTCACATAAGGGTCCAGGACGGACAGAAACGTCGTCACATAAGGGACCAGGACGGACCGAAACGTCGTCACATAAGGGTCCAGGACGGACAGAAACGTCGTCACATAAGGGTCCAGGACGGACAGAAACGTCGTCACATAAGGTCCAAGACGGACAGAAACGTCGTCACATAAGGGTCCAGGACGGACAGAAACGTCGTCACATAAGGGTCCTGGACGGACAGAAACGTCGTCACATAAGGGTCCAGGACGGACAGAAACGTCGTCACATAAGGGTCCAGGACGGACAGAAACGTCGTCACATAAGGGTCCAAGACGGACAGAAACGTCGTCACATAAGGGTCCAGGACGGACAGAAACGTCGTCACATAAGGGTCCTGGACGGACAGAAACGTCGTCACATAAGGGACCAGGACGGACAGAAACGTCGTCACATAAGGGTCCAGGACGGACAGAAACGTCGTCACATAAGGGTCCTGGACGGACAGAAACGTCGTCACATAAGGGACCAGGACGGACAGAAACTATCCCAAACCAACATAAAATACGTCTGGGGTTAGGTTATTGGTGCATTATTGTGTAATATTATAAATTTATTTATTTATTTAATTATTTCTATACAAGAAGGTACAATGGGTTTGTGAGAGTACATAGCATGATGTGTTTACATTCTTGTAAATCACTGAACATGACCAAGTGCCCAGTAAGTTCAAGATCATATAGGCTCACATTATATGACAAAAAGGGACTGAACCCTCACTGAACTCAGCCTATGATAACTAAGCGTATACAACAATGCTTAGAGAGAGAGAGAGAGAGAGAGAGAGAGAGAGAGAGAGAGAGAGAGAGAGAGAGAGAGAGAGAGAGAGAGAGAGAGAGAGAGAGAGAGAGAGAGAGAGAGAGAGAGAGAGAGAGAGAGAGAGAGAGAGAGACAGACAGAGAGAGAGAGAGAGAGAGAGAGAGAGAGAGAGAGAGAGAGAGAGAGAGAGAGAGAGAGAGAGAGAGAGAGAGAGAGAGAGAGAGAGAGAGAGAGAGAGAGAGAGAGAGAGAGAGAGAGAGAGAGAGAGAGAGAGAGAGAGAGAGAGAAAGAGAGAGAACACCCTTATGTCAGTGTTAAACATAATGGAGACATGATCAACCTCTCACTGAGAGATCATCAAGTATACTTGAGTCCCGGATCACAGTATACTCCGAGCAGAAGACATACTACTTCGTGTATATACTACATAGCCTATCCTGCCGATATGATTTTAGTGAGGCATAAATGTTGGCGTGACGAGAGCGTGTTTAAGTTAGCGAGGGGAGCGCCGCCGCCCCAGGAGGGCCAGGAGGCTCCGGACATGGAGTCACATAATGGCTCCACACAACACCAACGTCGTATATAAATCCCAGCATTTGATCTCATATTTGGGTTACGTCAGGTTACCCGCCATGGCTTAGGTTATCTTGGGTTAGGTGTGGTTAGGTTATCTTGGGTTAGGTGTGGTTAGGTTACCTAGGGGTTATCTAGGGACGACTTTCCTCAGGTGTTAAACTCTGCCAACTCGGGGCGGGAGAGGCCGCCGGGGTACTCTCGTTATCTGTAAAGTTACGCCTCAAAAAACTTCCGTTTTCTGTTACTGTGATCCGGACGTGGAACGTTTTCTCTTTTTAATTGGAAACTTGAGTAGTTATGTAGAGGTGCTCACCTACAAGTGCTTGTGAGTCGAGGACGTAGACTACTATACTACAGGATTAGTATAGTAGTCAGCTAAAGACACACCTGACAAGCACCTGGTTGATGGGGTTCTGGGAGTTCTTCTACTCCCCAAGCCCGGCCCGAGGCCAGGCTTGACTTGTGAGAGTTTGGTCCACCAGGCTGTTGCTTGGAGCGGCCCGCAGGCCCACATACCCACCACAGCCTGGTTGGTCCGGCACTCCTTGAAGAAAACAATCTAGTTTCCTCTTGAAGATGTCCACGGTTGTTCCGGCAATATTTCTTATAGTCGCTGGGAGGACGTTGAACAGCCGCGGACCTCTGATGTTTATACAGTGTTCTCTGATTGTGCCTATGGCACCTCTGCTCTTCACTGGACCTCTGATGTTTATACAGTGTTCTCTGATTGTGTCTATGGCACCTCTCCTCTTCACTGGACCTCTGATGTTTATACAGTGTTCTCTGATTGTGTCTATGGCACCTCTGCTCTTCACTGGACCTCTGATGTTTATACAGTGTTCTCTGATTGTGCCTATGGCACCTCTGCTCTTCACTGGACCTCTGATGTTTATACAGTGTTCTCTGATTGTGCCTATGGCACCTCTGGTCTTCACTGGTTCTATTCTGCATTTTCTTCCATATCGTTCACTCCAGTACGTTGTTATTTTACTGTGTAGATTAGGGACCTGGCCCTCCAGTATTTTCCACGTGTATATTATTTGGTATCTCTCTCGTCTCCTTTCTAGTGAGTACATTTGGAGAGCTTTGAGATAATCCCAATAATTTAGGTGTTTTATCTCGTCTATGCGTGCCGTATATGTTCTCTGTATTCCCTCTATTTCAGCAATCTCTCCTGCTCTGAAGGGGGAAGTGAGTACTGAGCAGTACTCAAGACGGGACTATACAACTGCTACACCAATATACAGGTTGGGTCTGGTTGGGATAGATTAGGTTAGGTTGGGTCAGCATGGGATAGGTTATGTTAGGTTGGGTCAGCATGGGATAGATTATGTTAGGTTGGGTCAGCATGGGCTAGATTATGTTAGGTTGGGTCAGCATGGGATAGGTTATGTTAGGTTGGGTCAGCATGGGATAGATTATGTTAGGTTGGGTCAGCATGGGATAGGTTATGTTAGGTTGGGTCAGCATGGGATAGGTTATGTTAGGTTGGGATAGGTTAGGTTTGGTTCGATTAGGTAGATACAAAAAATTTCAGGTTTCAGACTCAGCATCTGAACTTTGTTATGCATTGTTAAAACAGTTATAAACCGTTAAAAACCGTTAAAAACCGTTAAAATCGTTAAAAACCGTTAAAATCGTTAAAAACCGTTAAAAACCGTTAAAAACCGTTAAAATCGTTCAAACCGTTACAAAATTTAGACTGATCACTTTAGTTTCACATCTAATAGATTAGATATTAGACTTTGTCTTTCTGCATAGCCAACTAAAGGTAATATTCAACTATACAAACGGATGAAAGGCTATTTCAAAGTGAATATTATAAGTAATCAACATATCAACCCAAAATAGAACACTATACCAATGGATAACGAATTAGGTAAAGGTTTAAAGTCAACCCAAAACTACCCGTGGGTCACATGATGGACGAGGAACCGTTGGGTTGTGTCCAGCGCAGGTTCCGAAAGGAGCCGGTCGGCCGAGCGGACAGCACGCTGGACTTATGATCCTGTGGTCCCGGGTTCGATCCCGGGCGCCGGCGAGAAACAATGGGCAGTGCTTCTTTCACCCTATGCCCCTGTTACCTAGCAGTAAAATAGGTACCTGGGTGTTAAGTCAGCTGTCACGGGCTGCTTCCTGGGGCTGGAGGATCGGGCCGCGGGGACACTAAAGCCCCAAATCATCTCAAGATAACCTCAAGATAACCTCAAGATAGGTGCGAGTCATGCCGTATTAAACCCCACAACTCTGCCCAAGGTTGGGGGATTTACAATGTGTTCCCGCCAAACACACCGAAACTACGACGTTGGTACAACGTTCGAACAAGTTTTAACACCACCTAACCAGTTATAACAACCAATATATCAAGTTGTAACAACGTTCCAATACGTCATAAACACATTAAGCCAAGATCTAACAACTTTATTACAAGTTGTTACAAGCGGAAAATAGAGACAGTTTCGGTTTGTGTTTCCAGGGTGGTGGGAGCTGTCAGGAAGCCGGCGTCTTAGACCCAGCGCTGACATCCTGCGTGAGGGGCAAGGTCCTCTAAAGGTACTTCACAGATGTCAACAACAGCTGGGGTGATGGGGGGAGTAAAGAGGAAGGAGAGGCATAGGTGAAGGGAAGTTTAGAAGTGGGAAGTACAGTGAGAGGTATGACAGCAGGCGGCGGGCTGTCCGCCTTGCTGACACTCCAAAAAATAAAGGCAGACACAGGCAGGCGGTTGATTGAGAGTCGAGAGACGCGACAATTGAGCCAGAGCTCAACCCCCGCAAGCACAACTAGGTGAGCACAACTAGGTGTATACACTCACACACACACACACTCACACACACACTCACACACACACTCACACACTCACATACAGTGAGGTAGTGTGAGGTGTAGAATCATCAGGGAAGGTGAGAGGGATGATGCTGCATGATCAGAGTTAGAGAACTCATCAACTTCACACACTTAGAGGAGAGAAAGAGAGGGTATTGACCACTACATAGAAGATACTGGCGGGAATAGAGTGGATATAGAAGGCAGAGGAGGTGAG